TAGTTTTTGCTTTTAGTTTGCTTGAGAAATGTTTAAAAGAAATTTAATATTATGTAGTGAAATATTCGTAATAATATAATAGTGTAATTTATTTTTTTATAACCAAGTAGTTTTTCATAACCTATTTTGTGATACCTGTTTATATTATTGTAATATTGAATAACGAATTGCTATAACATATAATTAACTGCTTTTATTAACGTATGTGGATTAGTCAACTTAATATGATATCTTTTAATTAAATACATTTTTAAACTTTATACCTGATCATATTTTGATACCTTAACTACAATTAATTAATTGATTACTAAATAACTAAAAAATTCAATATTTTTAGCCGTTTTTCAAATACTCGTATTAAAAACTTTTTTATTTTTAGTTAGATTTTGTGCATTTTGAAATTGCTGTTAAAAACCCATATTGCATATATCAAAAAAATAACTAAGTTGTGTGAATTTTTAAATGAGATGAATATAAAACATAATATTTTTTAATCTTTAATTGTGTTAATCTTAAATCCAATTTGTTTACCGAGACAACATGTTTAAAAAAAAAACGAATATAATTATTAACAGCTTTTATACCACTACATTATATTATTTCATTCAGCTTGTTGTGATTATATACGAGCTCTTATTTTAGTACTTTTCATATGTGCTTTCGAAAATTTTATATAATATTTATTATATAATATTAATTATAGAATTTTCATTTTCTCCCGTGATAAAAGTAGGAAGTTACGAATATTTCACTCAGTGTGAATGTTTTTATTCGTTTTATTTTTCTGCTAGATTACTTCTATTCGCAAGATTTCCTCTGATATTACATATTCATAATATTCTGGTAATAAAATAGCTAAAAAAAATATAGTTTTTTTTTAGTGGCCCTTGTACTCTATGAAAATATTGGACTTTTAAGTCATGGGATTTACGAATGCATGATGATTTATTTGTGTCATTAGTTGCTCACCCAACTTTTTTATTCAGCATCGTTTTTATATGTTAGGAGCATATTCAACATCATTGTGTAATTGGAATATCTCATTTAAGCAAATACCTACTTATATATTTTGATTTATCTAAGGCATGAGAATTTTGAATTATTTAGATATTCTTTTCATTAAAATAGTAATCAGGCATGTCAATGTGTGTCCTATATTTGCATCTTAGAAACCAGTTTATGCATCGTAATAGATAATTTTGGATCATTGCTTACCGAATTATTCGTTATCAACATCTCATTAACTTGCATCAAATTTTTTTCAAAAATGTACCAGATTCGTTTTTGTTTAAAAAATTAAATTAAAATAATGATTTATAGCTTCTTGAACTAAAAAAATTAAATGTCTTGTCTATACTGGGCAAAAGTAGTCAAAATCCTTAATATCTTATTACTGGTTGGTATTTTTTATGTTGTTTTCAGAATAAGTCAATTTTGATGAATACTTCAATTAATTTAATCATTTTAATATACCTAAGTATCGACAAAATGACATCGGTTAGAGACTTAAAAATTGATTCGAAACTATTTTGTAGTTAATTTTAAAATCTAGGGTTATCTACCTTCATTCTATTGTTTCTGTGATTTCATCTACATCGGCACTTTGTCTCTTTGTACAAGGTTTTTATTTTATTTCATTAAAGAAAAACTATAAAATCTGTATATAATATTTTCATTTGTTATTAACTAAAATCTTCATATTAAATCACAACCAATATCTTAATCGAAATATTTTAATAGCATTTTTCTAAGGTCATAAGGAATTTATTTTATAAATATGAGCATCAAAAATTTTCTGACGAAAATCGCAAAATTAGGCATGACTATGGTATGATTAAAGATACTAACTTTTTCGACCATTCGATGAAATTAAAGATATTAACTTTTTCGACCATTTTGAGCATTTTTTACATATGAAGTCTTTAAACGTTGATGTTTTCGGTTTAAATATTGTAAATCAAAAGACCTTTAACCGAGTACAAGAATTTTTATGATACCTCTCATCGTTCGCGAGACATTTGCCAAAAACTGTTTTTAAAAAATTTTTAGTTTTCAAACGATTAAACGCCTATAACTCGGAAACTATATGCGTATTTAAAATATCAGCAAACATTTTTAGATAGCTCTATCTAAATTCTAAAAACCATTTGCTACTTTTTGCATATTTCAAATGCGTTTATCTCGAAAACTATTTGAACTGTGATCGAAATATATTAATAGCATTTTTCTAAGGACTTAAGGAACCTACCTTATAAATATTGAGCATCAAAATTTTTCTATGGTCGACAAAACAACCTATCTAAAATAATAAGGGGTGATTTTTTACATATTTTGTGGACCTGTGTCTGATGAATGTAATGTATAAAATTGGCACTAGCCTATCAGACTAAAACTATTAATAATCATTGATTAATTATAATGGATTTCAACAATTTTTGTATGGGACAATACAGACTGACTTAAACCATTCCAAGTAAAATCAGTGTCTTTATTCAATACAGTAACGTATGAAAAAAGATTCTCTACCACCTTATTTTTTTCTATTTGATGCATGTCTTGATGATTTTATTGATTCATATATTTCAACATCAAAATTAACTGTCCTAGGCATATAAATATATGTATATATAACCGTCGCCTTTCGAGCATAACTTTCTAATAAAGTTGTCAATTAAACACCCTCGCCTCTCATTAAGTCGCAAAACACAACGCACGTGCGTGCAAAACAAACTCCATACAACGAGATAAATTCTACCTAACGAGATTCTTAACGGTAACATGCGCTTGTAGATTGATAGCTGGTGGATCTTTTACTCATTTTATTGTTAATAAATTGTTTTAATAAACTTAATCGTATGAAATACTCCGCTCCGTAATTAGCATTATTATTAAACAAAATTTTACTACAGAACAACAGCTTCTAATAGTTACTTTTAAAGAAAACTTAGGAGCCAATTCTCCGATAAAATAGACCGTAACATATCCATAACAACGACTATGTTACGGTTCTTTCTTCATATAAATTGGTTGTACAAACTATCAAAGTGCTATGTATTTGATGTGCGATCAGACGTTTTACACATAAAACCTAACTTGACGAATTTGTTATCATGAAGCATTAGAAAGATGCAGTTATGATAACATTTTTTTTTGAATGTTATGGCAAGGCCATGTGACGTTCCAACTTGCATACAATATGCTACTGAATTATATTGAATACTGTCAAAATTTCATGTATTTGTTGTGAAGTCAGGCGTTTTACACATAAACTGCAACGTTACTCGTATGTTATGAAGCTGAGTTAGAAATACCTTGTTATCTAAGATCGTTTTTTTTTTGACATTTGTGCGGTTTCTAGGTTAGGTTTTCTATCTGACAACCTTAGAAAAACGCCTGACTGTACAGCAACTATATTGCTTTTCTCAATATTTGGAACGAATTAGTATGGAAAGTTCTTCATACATAGCCTTTCCATAACATTGGTCTGTTAAGCTACAGAATGGATCCATAAGTTTTATATTTAAAAGCGTGACGGCATATTACATACGTAGCATTTTAACAGTTTTTACTACCAATTTATATGAAGAAACAAGCGCAACATAGCGTTACTATAACATTCGGTGTTACGGTCTATTTTATGGGAGAATTGGCCCCTTAGAATATCAAACATAACCGTTTTTTGTCGGTAGAAACTGAAACAGTTCAGTACAAATTATAGCAGTTAAAATAATAAAGAAATTAAACATCATTTGAATTAACAGAATATAAAATAAAACTGGTTAAATAAAACAGAACAAACTTTATATAAATTAATTAAAATTCGAATGCTAGTTGAATGTTTAAATCGATATTACCAAACCGATTTGTCCTTTGCATTTCATGACATATACTAAAAAAATCATCTAATATTTCATAAAATAATCATGATTTTACGATATCATACCCCAAACTATTTGCTGAATTAGTAAAAAATTTAAAGCATGGTCTGGATGCATCCTTACGCTTATCATCATACGAATGCTCTTGCCAAATAATTTATGAACAATCTGAATGTGCATTTTATATTTGTATTGTTTTTTTTAATTAATATTTAATTTTAATGTATCAGTTATATATTATTCTATTATAGTTGTTCATATTTTTATTTGTACATTATTATATTACTAAGTTAATTTATATTTATTCTTAAGTTTACAATTTACAATAGCAGACTTTCATTTATGTCAGATGTATATATTATATTATTATTGGTTAATGCGCATTACTAGATTGAACTCATGTCCTATGCATATAATGAAATAATGAAATCTTTTGTCAGAGGCTAATGATTAATTATTTTGCTTCCAATGAAAAACTGATAGAAAAATTGTTTTTTTTTAATTTTTGGGGAAAATATTGTCGCAATAGATGAAGTCAAATCAAATGATCTCACTTTATTTATGGCGAAAACTCAAATTTTGTTTCTGGACTCAAAATAATCAGATCTTTTCTTGAAGGATCTGGTTGTTTCTATCTAATTCTATCTAATCGAATCATTATTCTATTATGCATGGGTCATAATTAATAGGCCTTGAATGACATTCGAATGTTTATTAATCGGCACAACAGATGAGCAAACGGACAGCGTCTCGATGCCTGTATCGTACCAACGCACAGTCGTGCGACGTCGCACCGACTTGGTTCCGACCATCCCGTCTCCAAGGGACACCAGCAGCAGTCATCTGCATGGGTCGCGCGGTTCGCTATCGCAGCACCACGGACGCTCATCTGGCGCAGGTAGAGCGTACTCCATGACGCGTCTTGACCAACTAGCCAAACCGCGCACACCTAGACTTTCCCTGTTATCCCCAACATCCCCGCCCAACCAGCCTACATCTCCCAAAGGCAAATCGACCAAGGGCAATAGGTCCAGGAGCATGATGCATCTGGCGGGTGCAGGTCTATCCGTTCCGGGCCACCAGTCCCGCCAGATGACGCGCAAAGTGCACGCTGCCAAAAGCATGACTCAGCTGGCGGTGGCTGGTAATGGGCCGTTGCCGCCGCCGCGAATGACGCGCGCCGAGAGGCTCCGGCGGCAAAGCAAGGAGTCGGCGGTTAACAACGGACCGCAGACTGCTGTCATTGCGAATGGAAGCAGCTCGCCAGGTCAGTATTGTTGTGTGAATTGATAGCATGTAAAATATTTTTTTAATGCGGTACCAATTATAAGATGAAAACCCATACAGCTATCGGATTCTAAAAAAGTAACTCTAAGGCTCTTGGTTTTTGTTGCATAATTGTTGCCACATTTTTGTAATGTTCAATACTATTTTATTGGAAGCTGGAAGTCAACATGAATATATATCAGCAACGAAACTTTTTTTTTAGACGTTTTTTAAATAGCAGACTCTCAACCCAAAGTACAAGATTCTTGTAAAATGTACGGTACGGACAAAATGACATGATGTTTTGATTTTTAATTTTATTTATTTATTTAATGATATTATAATAATTCTCAATTTTTGGTTTATTGACTACCGGTAACATATTTTTTTAATTAAGTAAGAACTATAATAATTTGTTTTATTTTATTAAGAAAAATACAATTTATTACAAAAACCATTATGCCCATATAGTACGGACAAGATGACATGCAATGTAAGAATATACTTAGTAACTAATTTTTAAGACAACAGTTCACAAATACATCGTTTGGTCCTCTGTGGGGCACCAGCATGATCCCAATAGTCTAAGTGCCAGTAAACTATTTGACTAACCTGTTTTCACAAAGCTAGAAATTTTTTAATGATATTTTATCATCGGTCTGTTAAAAAAGTACCATTCTGGCAGTTATTCCGCGGTTGCGTCATCATCCCTTCAATTTTTGAAAATGTCAAAACAAAATTTTTTATAACCTGCTCCCACAAGGCTCAAATTTTGGGGGTGTATTCTTTTAATTGTTCATAAAGTATTTGTAAACAGCCAGCCCAATTTGACGGTTGCAAGGGTCTGCCAGTCGAGTACATAATAGTCACGACTCACAATGGTATGGGCACATTGCCATACATAATCGGCTCCGTCCTTATATTTAAATAATTTATACGCCATTTTTAAGTCTTTTTGAAAACATCCGATATACCAAACTTCAACTTTGTATCACCTTATGGCCGAGGCATCATTGAAAATATGCCATCATTTTCAAACTCAATTTTTGACGTAAACATAAAAGATATCGAGAAAGAAATTACGTGATTCTACTCACATTGGCTTAGACCACATAATGTAAATTGATGCTAAATAATCATTTATTAGCTTTTATTTATTATTATTAGCTAAAAAAGATAAAATAATTTTTCAATTAATGTTTTTGGATAGTGCGTTTAGTTTAATTACTTTCTTATTAGCGTTATTAAGAGATCTTTTAATACTGCAAATATTGTTCAAATCAAATTTGTGGAACACATTGAAAAATTGAACCAACCAGAGCCAGTACACCCGCGCGTAACGCTAATAGTACCCCGGGGACCCTTTGGTTTTTTTTTTTTTTGAAGTAGTCAGAGTAGAAATTAAGGGCCTATCACATTTGACAGGTTTCAATTTTTGTTTTTTGGCCTCGAATGAACTACCCTGTAGTTCTGCCTAAATAGTACCTATCATTTTGTCAATTGTATAAGTATGCTATTTCGCCCTAAAGTGGTAAAAAATGAATAAATGATCAACATTCTACCAAACGCCTCATAATTGCAATAAAAGTGATTGAAGTCCTTAGTCTATAGAATTTGATAAAAATAATTGTAAATAACACTATGGAAGTCCTCAAAAAAACATCACAGAACCATCTTCAAAATAAACTTTTTAAGTCCAGATACAAGTTTGAACTGATTACTGCGACAAGACTGACAATGACGCTCAACATCTGACAGCATTGTGGTTAAGGCTTTCTTTGCGTTATACAATCGCGGAAACGTTATTAAAATTAGCCAATTTTTAAATACTGTGTCATTTTGTCCACATATACCATTTTGTCCGTATTGCCCCTTTAGCTAAAAGGATTTGATGAATAGCAAATTAAATGTATAAAGTCAATCAAAAAAGCACCACTTTTGCCACATCTTATCCAGATTTTTGAATGCTTATGGAATATATGACGACCATTTGATAATGATTACCTTGTCTTCAGCTTCCAATATTATTTCGACATTGATACATTGAACTATTAGTCAGTATTGATAAATATAGCATAAGACCTATATAACACGGAATGTGTTGCAAAAGAGCCCGTGCAAAAACTGCGATTCCTGTCAATGCCATTTTCTCTTCACTGTTTTTAATATGCAAATTGCTAAATTATTGCAACATATTATTTTGTGTCCGGTTTAATCAGCTCAGATATAATAAATTATTTTGAGAGTTTATTTATTTTGGCTTATTAGTAAAATAGCTAACTTTGTTGCAGGCTATGTAACGTTGACAAGAAAAATAAATTAGAATTATTCTTCATATGCATAAAATTATTTTTCCCGATAACGTTACTAATACTTTTACTTGTATATAGCATTGCATGATATACCGAATCAAAATGATATTATATCTAATATATTTTTAATTTTTTACCAGTGTAATTACTAAAAGATTGCGCTTTTAATGCATGAAGCACTACGAAGGATTGCAGCACGATCGAGTTTTTTTTTATTTATTACCTATAACTAATTGATTTTATAATTAGATATCATAATACTGATTGAAAATTAATTAATTTTTTGCCGAACGTGATATTGAGTAATTTATTTGGCATATAGTTTTTGCTTTAAACTAATATCTTTATTCAAACTTGCATAATGCATATGTCACTTTCTATATACACGTGATTTCAAAATTATATTTTTACATAATTAATTATATTATTATTTTTTAATTTTAATCTAAATGTTGCATTTCTTTTAGTAGCCAATTAGATATTTAATGCTTATTTACTCAACAGTAGTTAATAATGCATGTGTGTTCCATTCATCAAATCCTTTGTAGATATTTGTAGTTATAGATAAACACATAATTTAATTAAATCATTATTTATTAATATTTTGGTGTTGGATTAGTTAGAACTGCTTAAGAAGTTGGTTTCAAGACGTTTCGGTTTGTATATGCTGATATTTTTGGTGGATAAATTAAGTCTGCTTCTCAGGTAAGCGATGAAATATTTTATGAGATAATAAAAATTTGTTTTTAGTACTTGTAAACTTGAACGATAAAAAAAGTAAATATTTAAAATTCATTATATTTTGTAGAATTACTAGTACATACTGTTATCTCCAATTTTTCATTCTAAAAAAACGCTTTTGTACTATTTCTTTGAAATGAAATTGAATCTAATTCGTTGAAAGAAAAAAATATTGATGTGTAATTAACAAGATCATATATAATATTTATAATAATGATTTACCACCTGTAATGATTTTTGATATTTTTATTATCTCACGTTAAAAATGTAAATACGATAATAATGATAATAATATAATTATTAATAATAACACCCCTGGTATTGGACTCCATTGGTGAAATATGTGTTTCTTCTAGGTAAAAGGTATTTTATGAAATCCTTGTCATTCATCCTCCTATCTCTCCTTGAACCCATAATCTCATACCAAACAAATAACTATTTGTAAATATATTTATTAATATTATATGTCTGTGCAAATTTAAAATTATAACTATTGTGGTGTGCGGTATAACTTAATTTAAATACCGACACTGTTTCGTTCATGTGTCTGTCTTTATGAATAACGCGCATTAATAATTTAAAAACATGAAATATGAATAATAATGTTTTTGTCATTTGTTAAGTGTTGATTTTTAACCCTTTTGCTACGAGCGTCGTCTATGGACGACATCCGCTTGACGACCTGTCGCTTAGAGACGACGTAAAGTGTGTAGACTTTTGCATTGATATTCATCACTCTGCATTAAATTATTGACAATTATAATTTGTTATTGCGGTTTTTAGTTTTTTAGATGTGTAAATTTAAAATACTTGGGCGGCTTGCTGGCTCGTACAGCTGCGGACTCTTACAGCAAAAGGGTTAAATATTTAAATCGAAATATTAATTATGATCAGATTTTGATGAAAGGAAGAGAAATATTTTCTCATTAATACGAATTAAATGTGAGTTTTGTCGATAGGGTATTTTACTGCTTAGAGCCGTGGTTTCCAATCTGTGGGGCACGACTCTTCAGGGGTCACAAGGTACAAAGACATACAGATGATTTAAAAATACTATTTCCAAAAAAATAACCCAAAATCGTTGAAATGATATGAATAATTATTTTTATGTATATTTTTACATAATATTTTATATTAATTTGTAGCCTGATAAATATAATATCAGTTGAGTATTTATAAAATTAGATTGTTATAAAAATTAAAGGGCGAGCAGCATTATTTTTTTCTAAAATTAGGGAGCCCGGTACGAAAAGATTGGAAACCACTGGCTTAGAGTATGTAGGATTGTACAACTGTTTCATTCGTGTAAATTTTAATTAATCAAGCATTTTGTAACAATAATTCGATAAATATACAAGAACGCTCTACAATTTAATTAGGAGGCCAGTTCTCAGATGAAATTGAAATGATATTGTAATGCTTTATTACGGGTCTATATTCGTATGAGTTGGTAGTAGCAAACTGTCAAAATGCTATGTATTTGATGAGCGTTTAGGCGTTTTACACATGAAAGCTAATTCAGACATTAGAAAGATGCACTTATGATAAAATTGATATTTGACTTTTGTGCGTTTTGTAGGTTAGGTTTTATGTGTAAAACGCCTAATCGCACAGCAAATACATAGTTTTTTGACAGGTCGTTAGTACCAACTCATATGAATATATACCCGCAAAATAGCATCACCATGACATTTTTATTTTATCAGAGAAGGCCAACCCTTGATCTCCTTTGGATCCCAAGGGGCCAACTTTTGATTTTATTCGGATCCTAAGGAAACAACCCTTGATCTAATTTGGATACTATTACATTACATTTCTTGAGGTTGAAGTTTTGATTTTTTCACGAATTATATAACATTTTTTATTATTTATTTAATATTGATTTAAGTTTTATACCTTATTTTTTACCTTCCTTTAAATAGTGTTACTAATGTTGATCCCAAATACCATAAAATTTTTATTAAAAATTTCTGATTAGTATATTTGAAGACCTTTATTATGTTGTGGCAATATCACTGTACCATCAGCAACTTTTAACATCAAATTCTTTGTAAGGACCAAATGTAAAGTAGCTAAAGTAGCTCTTCCTAAGTCATCTAAATCTGAATCATTTCTGTAGTATCGTTTCACATATGATCGTTGTAGCGTATTTTTTTTAAAAAAAAGTGCATCTACTATGTCCATGTTAACCATCATAAGAATCCATGATATTTTATTATCTGTTTTGATAAGATTTATTACCGTTTTGCAAGGAAGGAAAGTGACAGACTTACTGCCGTTACTGCCTATTAACGTTCATATCTGGAGTAAAGCTGTAAATTTATTCTTAGAAAGCGCGGCAAAATATCTAAAACGATTTATTACACATTGACGTAGAAATTAAAGTTTTCTGTTTATGTTCGCCCATTCCTTGAGGCGTAATTAACGATGCCTGTATTTATTACTATTAGATTACGCTCCGCTCAATGATATATTTTATTGCTTATAATTAATTTATTTGTTTACGTTTAGTTGAATTTATGGTTTAAAGATATTAATTTTTAATTCAATGTTTGCTTTATATGATGCATATTAAGCTGTTGCGATAGGTGTATCAAGATAAATGCAATCGACGGAAAATATTTTGTAATAGGAATGAAAGTTTGTTTTATGGACGTGTTTTGACCACATATGGACCACCCGTCCTATTAATAATTTTTCACCACCATCGTGTTAATATTTTTTTTTATAGCAAATGAGTAGATGCAATGATTCAGTAAAAAACACGATAGCTTTTTACTCATAACCTCTTATTAATAAATGTCTAAATTAATTTTTGCAATTTGTTTGTATAAACAATTCTGATGAACTTATTTATAGATTTGTAGTTAAGTAAGAATTTTGTCATTGATGAGATTTTTAATTACAAGATTTTTAGAAGTAATGTTTTATATTTTGATAAATTGCAATGTCAGGAGTTAAAGTTAAATTAAAAAGGAACTAAATGGTTAAAAATTACAAATGTCCCACAACGGTTTTAGTTTGGAGAATTATTAACAATTATTAAGTTATTGAATTATGTTTTTTATATTGCATTCTAGTACTATTTACGTTAAAGGGTGCATCTGGAGCAAACAGATGAAATTTTAGTTTACCAATTAGCATATAATAGAATGTAATATAAATATATTAGGATGGATATTTTAATATGAATATTTTCAATTTTTTTTGTTCCCAGGGGCTCAAATGCCTCCAAATTGATCAAAAAAAATTCTCTGAAAGTTTTAGATCCTAATATTAACTTTAAGATAGTCCGCACTCCAACCAAAGTTTCTTATGGGAATAACTTGGACAAAAATCCATTCGTTTTTTAGAATTTTCTATCTTAGCGACAAGTGAATCAAATATTTGAGAATATCATTGTATTTGCCTATTTTGATCACAAATAAAAATTACAACAAAAATTAGATATATTTTATAAAATAAGTATTTACTTAGGAAGAATATCTCAGAAACTTTGGTTAGAGTGCGGACTATCTTAAAGTTAATATTAAGATTAAAAACTTTCAGAGAATTTTTTTATCAATTTGGAAGCATTTGAGATCCTGGGAGCAAAGAAATTCGAAAATATTCATATCAAGGACAATCCTAATATATATTACATTCTATTATAAGTTAACTGGTGAGCTTAGAATATTTCTGTAATTTTATCTGTTTGCTCCAGATCTACATTTTAACGTAAAAAGTACTATAATGCAAGATAAATATCAAAATTCAACTTAAATATTGTTAATAACCTAATTCATTACTTTTACATTATATTGTAATTCAAGCAATTACAGGATAATTTTAAAATTTTAAATTTTCCAAACAATTTTAAGCACAAATGTCTTCAAAATCAGTTTGAATTTGAAAAAGCTTTAAACACATTCAATGATATGAAAATATTATGGCGTTATTTTTCTCCAAACTTTTAAAATTAGGTTACTTATAGGAACTTAATAAATATTATTTATTCTGGTAAACGTTTTTTTTTTTTAATTTGTCATAACTCATTGAGTTTGTTCTATTCGAGCCCAAACTGTCCAAAAATGACGAATATAAATTTGCAAATCGTCAGTCTAGATGAGTTTTCGTCAACATAGGCTTGGATGCAAAAAAACAATTTTATAACTAATAATAACGTTTATTTAAATAAATAATACTTTAGTTTTTTTATTAATAGGCATACTATACGTCTAAATTCATAACAGTATTTTTGATAAAAATGAAAAAATCATAAGAATAAATGACAAAAATCTATGATAGTAGCTAATTTTTGTAGCTCAAACTTTGAACATCAGTTACTGTCGAACTCGCAGTATCTTAGATATATTTAAGACTATCTGTAGATGTTTTCACAATATGAATTTTACTAATATATTTCTTTATCTATCCCCTTCCTGGTGCAAAAATAGGTTTGCGTTCAGGCGATATAACTCCCAGCTTGAGCGGTTCTTCATCCCGTCCAGGCAGCGCACTGTCCACTCAGAACGCCTCATCAGTAGGAACTGGCACCGTTGTGCGTCGTCCAGCCAGCGCTCCCGCAGACCAAGACCAGCCAGCATCGCTGGAACTGGTGTCAGCGCTGATAATAGCGCCAGCCGACTCGGTAAGTAAAAAAAATATGATGAGAATAATAGGAAAAACTGAGAAATAGTGAAAAATTTAATGTAAGGACATACTGAGATACTAGGAAGGAGATACTGAGGTACTAAAAATATGATAAGAATAATACTGATTGAGAAATAGTAGATTAGATCAGGTCATACTGAGATATTCTTTTAAGTAGGCAATTCATGAATAAATCGTTCGGTTCTCTTGGGGACACCAACATATAACCCTTAATCCCGAAGGGAACATGTCATACATCGTAACCAGGCTCAGAATGAGAAAAAAAGATTTGGAAAGAAATGCAAGATTTTACTTTTTACTGGATTTTTTGGTCTGTTTTTAGAAGTAATTTGAGTGGAATCATCTTTGACAGGTTTCATTTTTCTTGTCATCGAATGAACTACTCTGTCATTTTGTCAAAAAGTGAACAAGTCCTCAAAAACCATGGAAAAACCACTCTCAAAATGAACTTTTGAGGGGGGGGGGGGGAGATATACACGTTTGAAAGGATGACTTTGACAATAAAGCTCAACATCTGAGAGGATTGTTATTGAAGCTTTCTTCATTTTATACAAACATGGAACTATCCAAAAACTAAAACTATCAAATTTTAATTAAAGCTCTGTGCCATCTTTTATCTATTTACCCTAATATCTTCTATTAAATATAGTTCTATTTCCATAATATCTGCATAGGTTATCAGTATTCTTGGGTGATATATATTATTATTTTGTCCATTTCAGGAATTAATGGCGAACGACCAAAATCAACCATAGACAAAGAAGGAGCATCTAAGCCGCCTCTGCCCAAAGTCCACGCAGCTCCACGCAAGTCTGTGCCTTCAAAACCAGAAACTCCGAAGAGAACGATCACTGAAAAAGTATCTCGCCCCAACAGTGTTAAGGTAATTATATAAGAATCCATTTGGCTAGAAGTTTAGTTTTGTACTGTACAACATAAATTTGATGGAAATTAAAAATATCTTTGGATTTACCATCAAATTATGTAATTACTTGGTTTGTAAACATTGCATCTAAATGAGAACATAATTTGGAAGAGTAATATTGGATCAAATGGTACTGTTCCACAACTAGGTCGTTAGATGAATAACTGCTTCTATGAAGTGTATATATACAATGTTCAATATATACCAATGTATATTTATATATAATAATATTCAAGCGTATCTTACGAAATTTTGCGTAATTATTGACGTAATTGACGATAAAGATACGCTGATAAATCTTTAATTACCTGTGATCTAGATTCAATGAAAATGAAGCTAACTGCTCAAGGTGGATCATATATCATTGAAATTATGTGCTATTCGTTAAAATTCCCACGCCACATACTCACTCAATAATAAAAATAAACTAAATGTGACGTAATTCAACGATATATATGAAATAATTGCTAGATTTATATTTACCATGTTAATATTTCATATTTCTATGAAATTAGGTTGTGAACATATACATATAGGCATTTAGAAGGTTGAGGCTTTAGTTTTATTTCTTCTAGTTATTCCCAGATATGGTATTTACAAGAGCCTGATTTATGCGTTGATAATATATGTCAACAGAATAGTTTATGATCAATAAAGTGAAGTCAAGCTTGTGCTAATTTCGTATGTTCGTATTTGATTTATTTTGTCGTTTAGTTATTTAATGGTTCTCATATTCAAGAATTTATAGAAAATATGTTCGATCAGTAATATGCGGTTTATTTGAAGCAGTAATGGATCAAATATCGGAATTAATAACATAAATAGTCCTTAAAGAGTCTGTGGCCATAAATATAATATTTAAGACTATGTATATAAGTTAATTTTTGAATTACAATATGGTGCCCACAAAAATAAAAATATTGCTCGATTTTTTCCACATATATGAAGCACTTCACTTATAATATATTTTACAAATTTCATCTTAAGTTTAATACAATATAGATGAAAATACTAGTTTAACTTACCATAAGTTGTTAATTCATAATGCATAATTTATATCGATTCTTACATAATTTATATCGGCATAATGTCGTATTGACCATAATTCCATTTTTATTCTTTCCTTTCCTTTTTCAGGCTTCACCAAAATTGACACCAAAAGCAACGCCACTCCAATCGCCAGGAGATGGAAGCACCAAATTAGATACTACGATCAGTAAACAGGCGGTGGAAGTGACCAACACTACAATCGTTAAAACAGAAACGATTAATGGTAAAACCGAAGTTTCTGTAGAAGAAGAACAGACTGTCGTCACTACCACACCTTCTGGTGAAGTTTTAACTGAAACAACTTCCAATGTTCAAAATCAAGAGCTGATCGCTCCCGTCAGCGCACCAGCTGACGGTCAAAATGCGATCGCAGCTAATCAAGAAGATGCGGCTAAAGTGGTCGGAGAATCTGTAAAAACAAATGAAGAAGTTAAAATCGCAGAGGTCGAGAAACCTGCAGAAGCTGTTCAGCAGGCAAATGCTGTCGTTGAAGAAAATAATACAATACCAGTCCAGCAGGTTAAGCCAGATGTCGCCAAAACCGAGGAGGTGAAATCTGCTGATGCTCCTGCTCCAGTTGAGAACGGGGACAGCGTCGACATGACTGGTAAGTGATTTTCTTTTTCTTGGCTTGCTTTTTTTCTGATATTTGGCAATTTATATTATACCATTCCGAAGTCATAAATAACAGGATTCATAGAGACGGACTTAGGTAGTGTTAGGTAATAAATTTCAAAGGATCTGGATCAGCTTTCACTTGTTCTATCCGTGCATAACAGTTTTGCATTTAACCAGATAGCTGTGGCGCTCTCATTGAACTGAGTGCACAGTTTTGTGTCGTCAGATTCGAGGTAAACTGTTGTTTTTGAGCTAAATTGACACAACTATTTATGTTATACTGGCATAGCCTCAAAATATTCTAAATATTGAAATCTAAATAGCCAATTGTGGAAGATTTATATGAGTGACGAGTCAATACACAAAATTCTGCATCGTCTTCATGACGAATATAATCGTCAATTTCAGTCAACCGGTTAATTAATGATAATTTTGCAAGATACAGGTACTGGTTAACGATTACAACGAATCATATCATAAATTTTGTGTAGAAAAGCATGAAATAAGAGCCTCGAAGTCAATTTATATAAATTACTTTCTCGTTGAATATATGTTTCCATTTATCAATAATATAGTGTGGTTCGAAACGTGTACAAAATATATCGTTGGCGCGTATACAACTGTGATTATATTAATCTCTATAAGTATTACGGTAGATTAATTTATTCCGAATTTTAATTGCATTTTTATTTACCAACGTCACGTTCTAAATTTAAGCCAAAATGCAGTTATGGTATGAAAAATATTTATTTTTAGACAGGAAAAATAAATTTACGCTCACTTAAATCCAAGATTAATGTGCATTCTCTCTATTACGTATTGTGATAATCCATCCATTCATAATGTTCACAAAAAACGGTGACTTTGAGATTCAGCGATTTTGATTTTTTTGCGTAATAATTTAATAATTCCGCCGTCCTGCGCTAAGTCGTATATCTGAATCGGTCGCCTATATTTTTATAATTAGTTCTGATTCAGTCGTTTTTTCTTGTCGCTGTTTTTTGCACTGTAATTGTGTATATATCTTGTAATTACATCTGCTAGATGGAAGAGATATTATATTATACCTACCAAACGTTCGCTTTGCGTTCGAATCGACTTGGATAATAGACGACTCGCTGGAGGGCAGGGGATATTCGATATTATTTTCTATGAAATATTTTAATCAATACGCCTTAATTATAATTTTAAAACAACTGATGGATCATAATAGTATGTATAAAATTAAGACCAGTCGTAACTCAAAAATTACAACAATTTTATGAGAGCCACTGTCTGGCGCAACGTACAGTCTTTGTTTTATCCCTTTTTCATGAACTTTTGTTCATTTCATATTAGTTTCTTTACTTTTTGCCCCATATCTTCGAATTTTCTGGACCTGCCTCTGCTTAAAACTAATCAGCACGTCTCACCATCAGTAGTAATCGAATGCTTTTTAAATTTTTCAAATCAGTAATCTGTGCTCCCGAAATTGAATAATGAAGAATTGTATCCGCACATACATACATACATACTACCACACACACATACGCACACGCACATACTTCATTTTTTTTCTAAGGTATGCCAAAATGTACAGAAGGTTTGGAACTTAAAGATTAGTAGAAAATTTTATTTTCGATTTTTTGCGATTACTATAACTCACCCTATGGGAAGTTAATTAATTATTTTAGACTATCCAAGAAATTTTTCAAAAATCCGTAGAACCAAACAGGATTATTAATGCAAAATTAATGCAATTACTTATAAATTGTTTTTATAGATTTAACGTCAATATACAATTTCTGTATAATAAATTGCGCGGATTCCTGATTTCTAAGGATTTGTGAATAATAAGTTTCGGAAACATTTTTTGTTCAAGTTGTTTTTTGTTATTGGTTTTCTAAACTAGTACATTTGGTCACATACAACATTTTCTTTTTTTTTTTCTTTATTTTTAAGCACAATTTTTTAGGTCAAGATCAATTCACAATTTTTAAAGTCTATATCTTGTTTAAGTTTAGATACCTTGAAATAAGACAAACTTCTGAATAAGCGCCAAAATTTAAAATCGATATCGGAATATCGATATTGAATATTTAAATCTAGTCAGTCGATAAATTCTGATATCTGAATCGTTATGAAATTTACTAAATTACTTTTGCTTATAGTAGGAGCTGGTTTCGTATGTGACGTATTTATTTGTAAAGTCGGTCAATAAACAAATTTTTTAATTAACACATTTTATAACAACTTAATTTTTTTATTAAATTTTATTATAGATTTATTTGAAATTTTAAGCCACTAAATAACTACGATATAAGATTTTTTTTTACAATGCTCTCATATTTGTCTATATTTTTTCGAAAAAGAAATCAGAAAACTACCAAGTCGTTAGTAACCTTTTTACAAGTGTCGCCTATAGGCGACATCCGCTTTGTGACCTGCGCATACGAGTGTCGTCTATAGACGACATCCAGTGTGTCAAGTTTAACACTCTGAGTTAAGGGGGCGCCCATTAATCACGCGATCCATTTTTTAAGGATTTTTGGACCCCCTCTGTCCCTCGTTAATATTCAAAATTATCCCTCCTCCTCTACCCCCACCAAACATTACGAGATTTTTTTTTAATGTTCGGATTTTTTTTAATAATTACACGTGATATCTTACTGTGTCCCTTTCTCCCCCCAGTGAAATTTCGTGATTTTTTGTCTATTAGTTATCATATGATTGAATGTTACAGTTATGCCCAGCAAAGGCGATTTCCATTTGAAATCATATTGAGATTTTAACTTCAAGTGGAAATTTGACACAGCTCAATGATAGGATACTTTGAATATTGTAGCACAATTAATGAGAAAACATATTATTCTCAAAGTTAATTATTATCAATTAATAAATTCTATTTTTATTATTATTTGAAAAATAAGTTTACCTGATCGTGTTCTAAAAGTTTCATAACTGCCCGCAATAGTTTTACGGTTGTGAACGAGCATTGTGTGTCTGTCCTTGAATTCGGAACTATCTATCCAACAGAGGTACAGACAATTTTTTATTTTAAGTGCATTTGTTTGTTTTATTCTAATTGCAATTTTTTTGATATCAATTAAATCTCTCATAGAAAATCAAAAACCGATTCAGTTCTCCGGTGTCTCTCATACAAATTGCGCGTTAGTTTTGTGTAATCAATAACCGATATTCTAATAATAAGAGTTTTGTTTGGTTAAAGTGAATTCTGTAAATATTAGCAAGTCGCTAATAAAAGCGCGGTATTTTGAATTGTTTTTTTACTGGATACTAAAAATATGGCAAGTATGAATAAATGATTATTTTATGTTAATTAAGTATTCGGACACAAGTTTGTACATAAAATTAGCACTTGAACATAAATTTTTTAACACAATTTTCACACTTTAATTTACCTTTATTAGTAAATGTGTATAAAAATAGTAAATACTAATAAAATTCATGATGTTAAAACCGTTATTATTAACCGAATAATGGCAAATTCTTTTATGCTACTAGTACTGTGTAATTCACTTTTTCAAATAACAAGTTTTTTTAATATTTTTATTATTATTATTCTATACGTTTCGACATATGATATTATGTCAATATCAGCGATTATTGAGCATTAGACAATTACATGTCTACAAGAAACATAATTAGCACTAACTTGTTTTACTCAACTTGACATTAATTATAGATTATCTCTCAGAAAAATGTTATGTAATAATACATTTTGTTTAAATGAAACGTTTCGACAAGATGACAGATAAATTTGTTTTTTATTATATATATGTTATATTCTAACAGATCTATTGAATATGTTCATAGTTTATAATATAAATACGTACCACAAATATTGTTTTATTACCACTTTCACCACGGAAGAGTTTTTATCAGGAGCGACACTGCTATACTAGCTAGCAAGCCGCCCAATTGATAAACAACAAATTTTATGATTTTTCTATCATCAATGATATTATATTCAAATTTTAATTTTCCAGAGAACTATAAATTACTATAAAAAATAGAATTCTCAATAATTTAATACAAAATGGTAAATATTGATGAATATAGTTGACACACTGAATGTCGTCTATAAGCGACATTTGTATACACAGGTCGTCAGGCGACAGGGTTAAAATGTTTTGAAATAGAATAATTAATATTTTTATTTATAAATCGTTTTCTTTATAATATAAATATATGTACAAACATCAAAATCACGAATAATCGCATTCTTACTGTTTTTACTTCTCTTGATGATGATTTATTCTTTGGTTAAAGCTCGAAAACCCTTTAGCTACGAGCGTCGACTATAGGCGACACCCAGTATTTCGAACTTGCTTCGACGTTTATCACTCTGTGTTCAATTATTGAGAATTTTAATATATTTAGAATTTTTAGTTCCTCAGTGTAATTGTGATTTAAATGTTTTGGTATATTTTCATCAATAATTATTGAAAAATTTATGAAATCGCGAATGATCATATTCTTGCTGTTTTACTTCTCTTGATGATGGTTTATTTATTCTCTTCTATAAGCCTTTTTAACCCTTTCGCTACGACGTCGCCTATAGGTGACATCCACCTATCTACTTGTATATCCGGGTGTCGCCTATAGTCGACGTCCAAGTGTTTCGACCTATGCTTCACCATTTTAACTCTATGTTAAATTATTTAGATTCTAATTTATTTAGAATTTTTAGTTCTTCGTGTAATTGTGATTTGATTTTTTTAGTATATTTTTATCAAATCAATGAATATGAAAATATCGAAATTGCGAATGACCACGTTCTTACTGTTTTTATTTCTCTTGATGGTTGGTTTATCTTTGGCTCTTCTCTGAGCTTTTTTAACCTTTTTGCTACGACGTCGCCTATAGTCGGCGTCCAGTGTTTCGACCCGTGCTCCAACACTTACCACTCTTGTTTTAATTATTAAGAATTGTAATTGTTATTGAAATTTTTAGTTTTTTGAAGAGTAGGTAATTAATTTTATATACATTTTTATTAATAATAATTAAAAAATCTTAAAATATGTTATTGTGCCTGGTCTGTTCAGTAGTACTACTAGGCGGCACGCTGTTCCGTACAGCAGTGTCAATTCTGCGGAAAACGCTTTCGTGGGGGGTTAATACTATCTTATAATTAAAAGGGTTAATACTATCTTATAATTAAAAATAGAATTAGAAGAAAAGTATAAATTTTCTAGTAAATGCAAAATTGAGGTGCGTTTTGAGACTTATTTTTATGCACATATTTTTTAAACCTTTGACCAATCTCGATGAAATTTATGTCCTTCGCTCAATAGAATCACCATAACGCTCACTAAATAGTGCCATAAAAATAATAAAAACATCTTCCGAGGTTTAAATCTATAAATTACACAAACAGCCGTCTCTCAACTGTATATAAATCATCAGTTAACACTAAACTTGACTTCTTCTTTTCATATACATTTTATTTATATACAGGAAAAAAACGTACGATTCTTTGATTAAAAAAATACG